TTCTGAAACTTGGAAGGTAAAAGAGGTGGGTGGCATATCCTTTCAATGTCTTATAGAGGAAAGGCCACCCAAAGATTATCCAGGAGAGGAACTGGCACATGAGGGCGTCGGAATGTCTCCCTGTAAGCAGTGAAGGACACGTGGCCGAGGAAGCGCCTGGCACACGTGAGACACTCGGGAAATGACGGCTGCTCTGTCATCACGTGTTAACAGCACTAATCCTTCCAACAAACTAATTCCCCTGAGACAATCGTTTCATGCAATAGTGTTACTTCCTCATTCCCAAGGATGGAAACGGTGATTTTGCCGTAAAAGGAAAAATGCGGCCCATGAGCTTCTTTAATCCCTATCCTTGTAATAATCGCTTTTTTCCGCTTCATGACACCTACCTTATTATTTCAGGGTTAACCTGGTGTGACAAAGTCCCCGTGGCCATTCCCCTTCTTCCTAAAGCAACAGTCACCTAACACTGCCTTTAAAGTGGTGTAATTCTCAAGTTTAAGCTGCATCAGAATCACCTGCACGTCTGGTTAAACACAGTTGACTGAGCCTCACCCAGAGTCCCTAATTCAGCGGGTCTGAGGTGAGACCCCATGAGGCCTGACAAGCTCTCAGGTGAAGCTGATTCTACACACGTGAACCAGCGCTGGAAGGAGATCGACTGGTCCCTTGTCAGCTCGGATGAGAGGGTGGAAGATGTCTCCAGCCTCGGGCTCTAGGAGTGAGGCCCGTGATGCAGGCCTGAGTCAGCCTGCCTCGGCGACGTGGAGTCGGACACAGCACGTGCAGAGGCTCACGGAGTCTCAGACTCTCGCACCTTTGCTGAGAACTCTGGGACAAGACTCCACTGGAGTCTGACCTGGAAAGGCAGTCTGTGGGAGGCGCTGCAGCCATCTTGTGCCATGAGGGAGACCCTGTCTGGGACTGGAACCCACCTAGAGGAAGCAGAACAAAGGGGCCCATCCAGATAAAACGTTTGAGTCCTGAATCAAGGCAGGCCTGGGCCCAGTGCCCCCAGGACTTCCCAGAGTTCATGAGACAACATTCCCTTTTTGCTTAGACAAATTTGTCTTGGCCTTCCTGCCACTTAATACAAAACCCTGAAAATTGAGGTTGTTTTTATTTTGTTTGTTTTGGTTCCTCAAGCACCAATTACCCTTATCCTTTAACTGTATTCAGTATTCTCAAGTCAAATATCACAGTCAATTCACCAACCAAAAAATGTAAAACGAAATGACCTGGGAATTTAAACAACCTAGCTAAACAGAACACACACCTATGTGTTCACAGGTTAACCTATGAACTTAATGTAATGCCAGTCAGACCCCTAGAGAATGGCCAAAATTACAAGATCAGTAACTTTACGTAATTTAGCAGCAATATTGTAAAATATACAATGCAGAAAATTCTTATTCATAAGTAACACGGAAAATGTAATTTGGAGACAAAACTAGAAATGCACAGCGCATTTATGAAGAAAACCACACGGCTTTGCAATTACGGAAGGGGAGGATAAATCAAAGGAGCAGCATATGTTTCTGGCTAGAAAAACTCAATATTGTAAAGTGATCAGGTATTCCCAAACTAATCTACAACACATGAAACTCATAAAAATCAATAAAAGAAAAACAGCTGAAAACCTCAATAAAAGTGGGAAACTGGCCAAAGGAAATGAAGAAGCTGTTAACATGAAAGGAAAAATAACTAGGCAATTAAGATTTTTAAAAATATGTAAAAAGTGCTCAGCCCCACAGCACAGCTGGGGAAGGCTGGGGAGACAGGAGAGTCACCCGTGTGGCCAGGATGTGGCCCCCTGCTGTGTTTGTGGAGGGTCATGTGATGGTAATCTGCTTTAAACCCTTAAAAATATGTATTTTTCACCACAAATTTCACTTCCAGAAACTTCCCCTAAAGAAATAATCAAATGAGGGCCCAAGGTTGTTCATCACAATATTACTTTTAGTAGAAGAAGGACATAAGGAAGGGGTGGAAGGCGGAAATGCTGAACCAGCTCGTACTCCCTGCAGAGGGGTTACATTAGGCATGTGCTGTTCTGTGACCTGTATTCATCCTTTAAGAAACTCACTGTTTGGCCGGGAGCAGCGGCTCACACCTCCAATCCTAGCCACTTTGGGAGCTGAGGGAGGTGGACTGCCTGAGCTCAGGAGTTTGAGACCACCTGGGGCAACATGGTGAAATCCTGACTCTACTAAAAATACAAAAAATTAGCTGGGCATGGTGGTGCACATCTGTAATCCCAGCTACTTGGGAGGCTGAGGCACGAGAATCTACTAGGGAGGCTGAAGCATGAGAATCACTTGAACCCAGGAGGCAGAGGTTGCAGTGAGCCGAGATCATGCCACAGGAGATGACGGCTCCTGTTCATAATTCCTGACACCTGTGAGGGCGTGGCTGGTGCCCCGAAGATCAGACCCGCCTTCCCTCTGCAGCTTTACAGCGCCCCATCTTATGGCTAATTCCTTCTGCAAGAAGGTCTCATCCTCTCCAAAGAAAAGTCCATTATGGAAAATCAATGAAGCAGTGAACTGATGGATGTGTAATACATAATCAATCCTGCTCATGCATTATTGAGTAACCTGTCTGTTACAGCTTTAAATATTTTAGGCAAGCTAGTAATGTCTGGAAGGTAATACAAGATACTTTAAATGAATATGGAAACTGGGAGAACCATACCTCATCCTTTTCTTACCCAGTTGGCAGTGAAACAGTTTCAGTGATAAAATTCTTATTTAAAATTTTTTTAAAAAAAGGAGAAAGTTTCCCTCTCACCCTCTCTCTCTTATTTTATATCAATATGTACATATTCGGTCTGGAAAGAACGTTACTGAGTCGATCCACCACTATATGATTATAGGAACAAACGCTGCTAAGGTTGATTTCATTAAATACAATGTTATTATGTGACTAGCACCATGAGTTCTATAAAAGTCAAATGGCCTCTGCCCTGGGCAAGCTCCTAGTCAAATGGGAGACACCAACATCTACAGAGGGAATTTTATGCAAGATCAATTTGTTAGGTCTAACAATGAAGCATGGTGGCCCGCACCTGTGATCCCAGCTTCTCGGGCCACTGCACTCCGGCCTGGGTGATGGAGTGAGACTGTCTCAAAAAAAAAAACAAAAGAACTAACAATGCATTACGGCGGCTAACAGGCTCTGGGGCAGACTGCCCGCCCTGGAATTCGGGTTCTGCCCATCACTAGCTATGTGACCTTGACAAGCTTCTACTTAACCTTCTCTGTCTCAGGTTCTTCCCCTGTAAAATGGGCATAATAATGGTAATGTACCACCTGAGGTCACTGTGAGGACTGAAGATGGCACAAATGGAAGCATTTTTCATACTGGTACCATCATGCCAGCACGTGAGGTAAGCACAAGCCGACCATGGCAAGGCTCTAGGAAGGCAGGCCAGAGAACTGGAATCTGTGGCCCAGTTCTAAGCAATGATGAGAATTTCAGCAGCGGTGAAGGAAGAGGAAGCTCGTTTCACAAACAGGGTCAACGTGAGCAAGCGTCTGCAGGTAAGTGGAAGAGAGCCCCTGACGGCTGCGTAGGCCGAGAACGTGGCTACGGTCTCAGGCACCCCAGCTGCAGGTACAGGGAGTGTAGGGGTGTCCCCAGGAGACCAGCTGGGCCGGGACCCGCCTGCACGAGGTGCTGAGTGTCAAGACAAAGAGCCTGAGCATTATTCCGTAGGCAGTGACAGCCCAAGGAGCAGGATGTCAGCACGGTGAAGAACATGGATTCTGGGTTTGAATCGGCTCCATCTCTTACACGCTGTGTGGCCTTTGGCAAGGTACCCAGTGTCTCTGTGCCTCTATTTTCTCACCTGTAAAATCAGCTGCATGAGGGTTACATGCGTGTTGATATGCAAAGTGCTTAGAACAGTGGTGACACATAGTGACATACGTAAGTGTTTGATATGAAAAGGCAGAGCAGGCTGGCACGGTGGCTCACACCTGTCAGCCCAGTGCTCTGGGAGGCTGAGGCGGGTGGATCACCTGAGGTCAGGAGTTCGAGACCAGCCCGACCAACATGGTGAAACCCCATCTCTACTAAAAATATAAAACTTATCTGGCTGTGGCAGCAGGCATCTGTAATCCCAGCTACTCGGGAGGCTGAGGCAGGAGAATTGCTTGAACCTGGGAGGTGGAGGTTGCAGTGAGCTGAGATCGCGCCACTGCACTCCAGCCTGGTGGACAAGAGCGAGACTGAGTCTTAAAAAAAAAAAAAAAAAGCCGGGAGTGGTGGCTCAAGCCTGTAATCCCAGCACTTTGGGAGGCCGAGGCGGGTGGATCACGAGGTCAAGAGATCGAGACCATCCTGGTCAACATGGTGAAACCCCGTCTCTACTAAAAATACAAAAAATTAGCTGGGCATGGTAGCGCGTGCCTGTAATCCCAGCGACTCAGGAGGCTGAGACAGGAGAATTGCCTGAACCCAGGAGGCGGAGGTTGCGGTGAGCCGAGATCGCGCCATTGCACTCCAGCCTGGGTAACAAGAGCGAAACTCCGTCCCCCCCCAAAAAAAAAAAAAAAAAAAAAAGGCACAACAATGGCCACAGCACCTCTTCCTGTCGTCCTGAGACAAGCCTTCAGAATACTTTCAGCAGCTGGTTCTGGGAAGGGTATAGTCAAGGATGAAACTACGTTACTACTACTCAAAACACTACCGTGAACACAAATGTTCTCTTTTGACAAAACCTCCCACAGTCCATGGAGAAATTTTACCTCAACGGAACAAAGTCAAGGCTGGCCCTAAACTTAGGCACACACACGACCAAGCAACACGACTGTGACGTGACTTTATGAGATCCCCGGGGCCCACGCAAAGGGGCAAATGGCACCATTTCCAAGAAGACAGGATCTGCGCAAACTTTCGAACGACGGCAAAGGCTTGACTGTGTCGCGGTGGGACAGGAGGGCGGGAGCTGGATGTGCAGTCGCGACTGCTAGACAGCCTCTAAGGCGAGAACTTACTTCCGGGTCCATCCTTGACTCTAGGTCCTTCAGGCTTGGCCTCAGAAATAATGTTTGCATTGGCGTTATTCTCCATCTCAATCACAAAGTCACCGTCTTCTTCAAACTCAGGGTGGCTGAAGATCCAGTCCAGCGCCCTTTCCAGGCTGTGATTCTAACGACAAAAGAGAAACACACGTTTTTACGATGCGTGCAGCCTCAGGCCTCGCTGTGTCCCGGCCATGACAACTGGGCGTCACGCGGACAGGGAAGGAGGCCTGCATTCACCAGGCCTCAGCGCCGCGCATGAGAAGCTCTGACTCCGCATGACGTGCGCACTCCGCTGGTCTCCCCCTGACACCTGCAATTGGGTTCCCTGGAAAACAGCTCTAAGCAGCAGGTCGGCATCCCAAAGCCTGCCTCAGCGGTAGCCCAGCATTTTTGGGGAAGACGTTGGTAATGACAGGTGTGGGAAAACCAAGGGTACGGCATTTGTTTAAGGGCAGCTCTTTCTAAAGCCACTTCATTGCACACACTACCTTCCCTACCAACTGTATTTTCTGCAGATAACTTTGCACGGTACAGGGATGCCGGGGTGAGCACTGTGTGAGAGCCTTCTCTCCGGGAATGTTGGTAAAAGGGTTGAACTGCGGTAAAGACAAGATTAACATCTTGATTAATGACGACAACACTGACTAGCTAAGTGTAATTGTTTAAACTGGACTCCATGTACTTCAAACTAATTGGCCATAAAAATATTTCCATCTTTCTCAGCTTGTGGTATCGCCGGCAGGTTAAAGAATCTGTAGAGATACAGAAGCTCTAATGAAACAGTGGGGTAGGTAAAACGAGTGGGGCGCAAGAAAGGACCCCAAGCAAGATGAACTCCGGCTGGGATCTTTTACGCATCTGAAAGGAAGACAGATTGTTCTAGCCACATTCTCATGAGACAGTCAGGGGCCACAGTGACCTCAGCAACAGGCCCCAGCAGGCACTCCATCAGGACAGGCAAGAAGTGGTTGCGGCCAGGTATCTACTCAAAAATGGATTATGGTGTGACCAGGAAGGTTGGCTGTTTTTGGTTTTAGCTTTGGATTTGGTTTTTTTCTCTCTTTTTTTTTTCCGCTAAGACTTACAAGATGAAAGGGTGCGCTTTTTTAAGTACTTTCCCTGAATATTAAACAGATATCAGCACTGCAGAAGGGACTTGTCTACCCTAAAGTTTCAGGGTCTCTTGCTTCTTGAATCAAGAAGCTCACGGCTACCAGAAGAACCTTCTCTTTCTACAGAGAGAAAATGCAGCAGAGAATTCCAAGGAGGCGTTCAGTCTTGCATGGGGACTCTTAAGAGACATTTATCCAAGGTCTTGGTCTCAGAAAGGCATTACGTCCTGAAAGGACGTCTTACTGAACTCGGGATTCCACGCGGCCCTCCTTCCTCTAGCGCCACAAGCAGGCTCCAAGTCAAATCTGTGACCCTATTAACAAACATTCACGGTGAGAACAAGTCTCTCTCGATTTGCTCATCTTATCCCAGCTTTACCATCGCCTTATTCTTAAATTCTCTGTGTGAAAATTATTTATTTTAGCTTCATGTGTACAATATATAAATAAATCTTTATGGGCTATGGTGAGATTCATAGACGAACTGAACATAAATCAAAATGATCAAAGTACACTGGAAAGTCTTAACTGCTACAGAAATAAATTCACACACACACTCATACACCTCATACACACACACATAGAACACACACATGCACATACACACGTGCACACATACACTCATACACATTCACACACACACATTCACTCACTCACACTCATACACACTCATACACGCACACATACACTCATACACATTCACACACACATTCACTCACTCACACTCATACACACTCATACACGCACACATACACTCACACATACACACGTGCACACACACACTCAGACACATACACATTCACACACACTGACACATACATTCACTCACACACTCATACACACACATACACTGACACACACACATACACACACACATACACATTCACACACTGATACACATACACACATTCACCCACACACACACATACCTGCACACACACTCATACACACACACTCAAAACACACATTCACACACTGACACATACATTCACTCACTCATACACACTCATACACGCACACACACATACACTGACACATACACACTCACGTGCACACACACACTCATGCACACAGTCTCATGCTCACCGTTGCTCGCAGTGCCTGGATAGCCTGATTTCGCTGAAATCCCATGGAGGTGATGATAGCCACGATTTCCTCTGGGGGCTGGTTATCCAATCCAGAAGCACCAAAAACAGAGGCTCCGGCAGAAGCCGCCCCTCCGTAACCAGGCATGGTCAGCGGTTCAGCAAAATCTGAGGACGAGAACCACACTCAAGTCTTTTCCTTTTTTCTTTTTTGTACTGAAACAAACAATACTAACAAGAAAAAACATGATTCTACAAATTTAGAATAATCAAGACAGTCTGGGACAGGCGCAGTGGCTCCCACCTGTCAACCCAGCACTTTGGGAGGCCGAGGCGGGCAGATCAGCTGAGGTCAGGAGTTGGAGACCAGCCTGGCCAACATGGCAAAACTCTGTCTCTATTAAAAATACAAAAATTAGCAGGGCGTGGTGGTGCATGCCTGTCATCCAGTTACTCAGGAGGCTGAAGCACAGGAATCACTTGAACCCCAGAGGTGGAGGTTGCAGAGCCAGTGAGCCGAGATCGCACCCCTGCCTGGGCAAAAGAGCAAGGCTCTGTCTTAAAAAAAAAAAAAAAAAAAAAGTCTGGTGTTGGTATAAAGACAGACATACATATCAATTAAATAGAACTGAGATTCCAGAAATAAAACCATATACCTGTGGTTAACCGATTTTCAACAAGACCATTCAGTGGGGAAAGGACATTATTTTCCACAAATGATGCTGTGACAACTGGATATCCACATACAAAAGAATGAAGTCAGGACTCGCCTGACATCACACACACAATTAACCCAAAGTGGACCATTGACCTGAATGCGGGAGCTAAAACCATGATCACCGTAGAAGAAAACACAGGAGTAAATCTTTTTGCCATTGGATTAGGCAATGGTTCCTTATTTACAATACAAAAAACACAAGTGATAAAAGAAAAAAGTTTTTAAAAATTGTTTTAATTTTTTGTGCCTCAAAGGATCCCATCAGGAAAGTGAAAAAACACCAGAATGGGGGAAATTACCAATCATAAATCTCATAGAAACTTGCATCCAGAATATGAAAAGAACTCTTGAACCCAACAATAAAAGGATAACCTCATTAGAAATGGATGAAGAATTTGAATAGACACATCTCCAAACGAGACATACAGTCAGTAAACACATGCAAAAAGAGTCAAGGTCGTAGTCATTAGGAAAACGCAAACCAAAACCACAAGACACCACCTCACACACACTGGGATGGGTATGCTAAAAAAATGTAATAATAAGGGTTAGGCCGACACAGAGAAACTGGAACTCACATTCCTTACTGGTGGAAATGTCAAACGGTTCAGCCACTATGTAAAACAGTTTGGTAGTTCCTCAAAAAGTTAAATGTGGAGTTACCGTATGACACAGCAATTCCACTCAAGAGAAGTAAAAATAAATGTCCATCCACACAAAAACTTGTACAAAAATGTTTAGAGCAGCATTGTTCATAAAAGCCAAAAAATGTAAATAACCCAAATGTCAAGCTGATAAAGATTAATAAAATGTAGTATATCCATATGATAGACTATTATTATTTTTTTATTATTAACAGAGTCTTGCTCTGTTGCCCAGGCTGGAGGGCAGTAGTGCAATCTCAGCTCGTCTCCTGGGCTCAAGCAATTCTCCCGCCACAGCCTCCCAAATAGCTGGGACTCCAGGCGCCTGCCCCCATCCCCAGCCAATTTTTGCATTTTTAACAGAGATGGAGTTTCACCATGTTGAGTGGGCAGGTCTTGAACTCCTGATCTCAAGTGATCCACCTGCCTCAGCCTCCCAAAGTGCAGGGATTACAGGTGTGAGCCTTCACACCCAGCCCACAGACTATATTATTTTACCATAAAAAGGAAGTACTGACACATGCGACAAATGGATGAATCTTGAAAACATTACACTGTGATAGAAACCATACACAAAAGAGCTCATATATATGACTCCATTCATGTGAAATGTCCCAAACAGGCAGATCCCTTGATCTAGAAAACAGATTCCTGGTTGCCAGGGCCTGAGGTGAGTGGGAAAATGGGGAGTGACTGCTCATACACGAGATTTCTTTTGGAGGGTACAAAATGTGCTAAAATCAGATAGTGGTCATGGCTTAGACAGTGGTGTGAATTTACTAAAAACCACTGGAATGTACACTGTAAATGAATATATGCATTATAGCCTAAAAAAGTAGATAAAAGAAAAAGCTAACTAAACAGCCTCCATTTCTTCATGCCCAGGCTTTCATTCAAGTTCTCGGCATTTCTTGGAAGCATACCCCAAATCTTTCTATTGGTCTTTTTGCCACTGACTTACACACTTTAAAGGGTGAATTATATCTCAATAAAGCTGTTATTTTTTTAAAAAAGAAGAAAGACAAAGACTAGCTTTCTCCTCCCGTTGCAGCCGATGAGGAACTGTAAAGTCATTTTCTAGGGATACATCCACAGGGGCCATGGAAGGACCAGGACATAGCATCACTGAGGGTCATGTCAGGCTCCAAAGCCATTCCGTTTTCCCGCCACCTACCTGGCTCTTCCATGTGAACAATGATCCAGTTGAAGGCCACCTCGGCGCCCATATTTCCAGTGAAGTACACAGCCTTGCGACACGCTTCCAGGGGGAAACCCATCTCGGCCAGCTGCATCACTGACGACTCGTCAATGTCTGATGCTACAGAGCACAACAGGACAGTCTCGTGTGAAAAAGGAAACGCTATTGCTTCTTGTCCTAGCTGCTCATCACGCGCTCATCCACACACTACCCAAAGAAAGTGCTATTTTCTTGGGTGTAATTAACGGTTTCACTTTGTTCAGTTTTGTTGTAAGCCACCCAAATATTAAGCTATTTGGGCTAACTTTATGTGTTCGACCCAAATAGGACCCAGGTTAATTACCTGGACAATCCAATCTGGGAAAACACTAAATCTCCCCATAGAAAATTAGACAAAAACAATTCCCAGAACGATTTCAGAGCATCCTCAAAACCTCTCCGCAGCCTCTCCTACGCCTGAAACTTGAAGAGAAAGCACTGTCTACAGCCGATAAAGCCTGTTCCTTAAGCCTCGCAGAAAGTTACTGCAGGCCTTTACATCTGTCTGGCAATCGTAGGACGCAATCAGCACCGGGAGCTGCAGCGTCCAAATGTTAGGTATAGACGGAAAAAGCTCCTTGTTTAATTATGTAAGTTTAAAACATTGAGAGACAGATTTACAAAGTAACTTGGGCTCAGACAGAGAGAGCTTTGTTTTCTTTTGTTGAGAACATAGAGATACTGGTAGAGATGTGTGTGAATCTGTGCGTACATACGGATACACACACACACACACACAGCTCTCAAATTACACCAAAAGAGGAGAAAAACTGGAATGGCGGGCCAAGATTCTGACGCAGGGCTGCTTAGCCTCATGCTGATGGTCACCCTCCTGAGCCCCGCAGGCCACCTGATCAGCAAGTCACTGACTAGCGGACAGAGAACCATTCCCACCCGGGAAAAGCAGCACATAGAGACATACAGAACAGTGGCTCTGTACTGAACTCTCACACACAGGTGCATCAGAGTAATACCAATAAGACTTGAGAAACATTTTTAAAGATACATACGGTCTATCAGTTGGTTCATCAGACGATCTGGAAATGAAGGGAGAGGACAGAAAGTGAGAAGAGTTTTAGACAAAGAAAACCTGCTGATCCAGGGTACCCCCATGCCCTCCCCACCCCTGGGGAGCCACACATGGCTGTCAATCCTGCAACCCCACACAGCCCGCCCCAGCCTCAGTCAGGAGAGAAGGCAATCGCCTTCAGGCATTTAGGTTAGTTACAACATGCCGCTCCGATCGTTATCTGAACAAACTACTATTTCCCTACTATCTCCCTATTATTTCTTCTTGAAAAAAACATTTTTTTTTTTTTTTTGAGACAAGGTCTCACTCTGTCGCCCAGGCCAGAGGGTGGAGCAGCAATCGTGGCTCACTGCAGACTCAGCCTCCTGGGCTCAGGTGAGCCTCGTGACTCGGCCCCCTGAGTAGCTGGAACTACAGGCACATGTCACCAGTCACCATGCCTAGCTAATTCTTAATTTTTTTTATTTTTTGTAGAGATAGTATCTCACTATACTGACCAGGCCAGTTTCAAACTCCTGGGCTCAAGTGATCCTCCCACCTCAGCCTCCCAAAGTGCTGGGATTACAGGCATGCACCACTCTATCCAGCCACTCTCTCTATTTCTAAGAGCTTTATGTAACTGCAATCCAAAGGTTCTTTGGATTATGAGCATCAGAGAGAGCCGGGGCAGCACTAATAAGCCATCTTGTATTTATCTGATGCCCGTGCTGATCCTTCCTCAACCCCTTTAATGAACCACCTGAACTCCGTGACCCAGAACGTCCCTTCTCTAACTCTTTCTCCATAATTTAGCATCTGACCCAACATCGGAGAACATACACAGACGTCTGTCTGAACCTGTCTTGCTCCTTCTAGACCCACCTTACGCTTCCTTTACACCTGATCATGGTCACCAACAACACTGACTATTTCCCTGACGGAAACCCTTTAGGAGAGGGTCCCAGAGTGCTAGGTCATTGCGAGTTAATTTACCTGAGTAACTCACCAGGTGAGCGAACAAAGCCAGAATGAAACTGAGTCAATCAGGATAACTGAGCTAACACTTAAACCAAGATTTTTCTGACACGTTTTTGAACCCACAAAGGTGAGGCAACTATTCCTGGCATGTCTTTTTCCACAAAAAAGTTATGTATTCTGAACAATGACCAGGGACAGGGCCACAAAGTCAAAGAGAAACTCAAACCTCTTCCTTTCTCCGAAGCAGTAACAGAGTTGGGGAGTTGAGATGCTGTCACGGTTTTTAAAACCAACTCACCCTGTTGAATTTCCCCTATAGGTTGTCCAAAGGTATTCCCAAGAATGCAATGACACAGCTTCCCAGACTGAGACCCTACAGAAAAACACTGTCCATTTCAACCACGCACGACGGGTCTGTGCCTGCTGCAGTGTCTATTCTACGTTTCCTACTGCAGCCCTGCCTCCCTTCTGTGTGCTGGTGGGGGTCACATCACAGGAAGGTGGCTAGAGGACACGGCGTGAGGGTGGGGCGTGTTCTCCTGGCAGGAGATGGTACCTTTGGAGTCATCGGGAATGACGATGGGGGGGCTGATGTCTGGAAGTTCCTCCTCTCCCGGCTGCAACCCCCTGGCTCGGAGGTGGTTGATGTCAAGCAGGTCTGGCATATCAATAGAAACATCTGCAAAAGCAGAGAGATTATACCCGCGGGGCTGTCCGCAGCCACCTTGTTATACCACCAGCATGGTGACTACGTGCACGCGTCTAGGCAGAGCTAAGGGGCGTTTTCAATTCCCTAGAATGTGTCTCTCGACCAGCAGACTCATGAAGACTGGTGGGGTCTCGGTGGGGAGCCCGGGGAGTACAGCGGGTGGCAGGACTTCACACCCAACGAGAGCACATCACTTAAGCCTGAGGTCACAAACTGACAGCCCAAAACCATGTGTGGCCCACACAATCTGTTCCATACTTTACAAGTGTTGACAACAAATTCTGATTTTTAAATCAGAAGATGTAAAAGTTAGATTTCCAGCTCATTTGGAAACGCGTAAAGCTGTTGCGTGTTCTCGCACAGCAACACCGTCTGGAGCTGGTCTTCGGGTTCTACCCCAGACAACGGGCAGTGCGAGTGGCACACACCCAGGGCCCTGTCGCCCCCCGAGCATCGTGTCTGCGCCGGTCTGATTCTCACGGCAGTTTTTCTAGCTCATCTCTTTATCCACAGTGGGAATACCCGAGCAAGGCCAAGATAGCTACGAGCTTCCTACACGCAGCCCCTTCTTTCACTTTGATTATGAATCACCCCGTCCTTGTTAGGCATTTGGGTTTGCAATCCCATGTGATGATGCGACTCATTCTCAGATCATGATGGTGCTGTGGATAGTCTATGGTTTGAATAACAATGAAGTTTTAAGGAAATTAACTGACTCTCACGTGTAGTATCTCTACCGTGCATTTGTTAACTTCTTGGCTTCACTGTTGTGTAGACTTATTCAAATACAAAATTTCTCAGACTAATACCTTGTCAAGATGAGTATACTAATGAAAACTGGGTCCAAATGTTGGTATAAGGTACATCTTTTGGGCTAGTAAACAACCTGAAAATACTGTCCCCAAAATCAGTTATGAGGCAAGGTCCATAAATCCTATTTTAAAACAACAACCCGAAGAACAAAGCTTAATTTAAAAAGCGAATTTAAATTTCAGGGCGTAGCAAAACCAAACATAAAAGCTGACCAAGAAAATCAACACAGCTGTTCCTTCAGAGAGAAATTCAGGTTCATTAAATAAAACGTTGAGGTTCCTTAAAATTCAGCAAGTCAATGAAATCTGATTCAAATTTTATATTCCTTTACAGAAATTCCAAGGACAAAGAAAATAAGCAAACCATGTCCAAGGCGGTTCAAAGCCTTCAGAGCAAGACAGTTTTTTTCTCTCGGGTACTTTCCAGGTCCCTGGAAGAGAAGCTGAGTGGTCAGCCTCCTGCCCTCTGCCCTCTGCCCTCTGCCCTCCGCTGCTCTCGAAACTGTTCTGCCAGGAAGAGGGATGCCTCCTGCAGGAGCATGACAGCTGGCACAGTTTCGCGTGGCAAACAAGTGTAACGTTAGTGCTGAAGGTCTCCAGGAAGTCACTCCAGCCTATCCCCTTCAGACAAGTGCTGAATCAGTGTAAGACTGAGTTGGGTTTTTTTCTTAGGTACTTAAAAACATAAAAACTTTAAAAGACTGGCAGATAATCCAGAGTGCTTGCTTGAGAAACAGTACATTCTTCCACATCGCTGAGGACAACCTAGTAAAGCTCTTTGTATTGGATCATAATGCTGGAGAAAGGCTTTTACACACTGTCTGGAAAACTAACCTCCAGCAATGGTCAGGAACCTCTAAAATTAGCACAAAGAAAGTCTAATGAAGCCAAAATCACATCCTTTATTTTAACTGTCTGATGCAACTGACTTTTTCTATTTTATCATTAATAGCGTGTGTGACGTTAGTGAATGTCATTAGCCACGCCTGCCTGCTCACAGGCAGAGGAGAGAGCTTCTTCAGCTGCTGGCTGTCCAAAGCGCGGTCTGTGGACCAGCGGCACCAGCAGCACGTGGGAGCTTGTGAGAAACACAGAATTGCAGGCCCACCCCAGACCTGCCTAATCTGCTTCTGCATTTCACCAAGATCCCAGGTAATTCATATGCATGGTAAAGTTTGGAAAGTGCTGTTTTCCTGACAACGTGAGGATTCTGTTTACACTCTTAGAATCCGGTGATTCCGGAAGCCACCGTAACTGGAGGGGTGGGTAAGCAGGTGGCAATGGCTGCCGTCAGGTCTTATCATATATCCCAGTTCAAAACAGAAAGGTGGGAGTGACGAAGAATGAAACGGAGCTGTCTGTGGCAGCGCCTGTGTGGGCTCTTTCACATGCCATGTTGTTTAAATGGCTCATTTGATGTTTTAAGCAAAAGCATGCAAAAGATACCTACCAAATTTTTTGGGAACCCAGTCAAGACCAAAAGTGAACTTCTTTATCTGCACTACCAAGTATTCAGGGAATGAGGCAAAGCGAGATGTTCTGGGAAACACAAGGGGACATGTCAATGAAACAAGGCAGTAAGAATTGTGAATACAGTTCAAAAAGCACATCAACTTTGTCTGAGGCACACCCGGCCATTCCAATGGCTGAACTGAGGAGGAGGAACACGCAAACACAGACACGTAAGTGGACACACACTCGCTCTCGCCTGCTCACTTGTCCTGGCCTTTTCATAAGAAAACGTTTAATGTAGAATGTTGTCCTTTAAGAATGCTTTTGGGGCCAGGCGCGTGGCTCACACCTGTAATCCCAGAACTTCGGAAGGCCGAGGTGGGCAGATCACCTGAGGTCAGGAGTTTGAGACCAGTATGGTCAACATGGCAAAACCCTGTCTCTACTAGAAATACAAAAATTAGCCAGGCATGGTGGGGCACGCCTGTAATCCCACCTATTCAGGAGGCTGAGGCAGGAGAACCATCTGAACACTAGAGGCGGAGGTTGCAGTGAGCCAAGATCGCACCACTGCACTCCAGGCTGGGCAACACAGCCAGACTCTGTCTCATAAAAAGAAAAAAAAAAAAATGCTTTTAGACCTGTTTCAAAATTGTTACTTTTACTTTGCTGTGGTGTTTTACATTTCTGAAAAGTGCTTTTTAGCCATTTATTTTTTCTGAAATCCTTTCTAAAATTGAGTATACATCTTTTTGACTGATGACATGCATGTGTTGTGTATACGCACATGCGGTTTGAAAAGCCTCCCGGGTGACACTTCCACCTCCCCCCACCTCCCCTTCCACACGCACAGAGCTGGCAGACGAAGTGCTGACGGAAACTCTGGTTGAGGCTGACTACTGGAAATGCCAGGGCCTCATTAAAATACTGCAGTTCCTAACCCAAAGCATAAAGCATGTTATAAATAAGTATCCAAAACATCTGAATCTGGGCCGTGAAGTTTAAAATTAATACACATCAGCAGTCTCTCGAATTGTCTTCAGACTTTCAGAAAGGCTCCGTGGCCTGGGCGTGGATTCGGTAATCTCACACCCAGACTGTTCAACTGGTACACCAGATTCAGACCTAGTTCCAGCTCACTCACTCCACACTTACCAGCTTGCTTTTAACAACCATTTCTATGTGTAATCAGTGGGGGTGTGGTGGGTACGCATAAAAAAGAAAATGAGCTGTTGGCAGGTATCACAGATGCCTTTTAAAATAAAAAATTCTAGAATATCGTCCACGGCCACACCACCCTGAATACGCCTGACCTCGCCTGATCTCGGAAGCTAAGCAGGGTCGGGCCTGGCTAGTACTTGGAGAGAGACTGCCTGGGAATACCGGGTGCTGTAGGCTTTAAATTCCAAAAATAAAAATAAAAAGATAAAATTCTAGAACATCTTCCCCACCCCACTTTTCAAATCTAAGGCATTGCCTTCTCCCAGAACTTCGAAAACAAATGCCAGTGTTTGCTGCCCCCTAGTGTCCGGGAAAAGGCACAACACAGGGACAGCACACGGGACAGAAGTCAGAAGACGAGGCTGTGGGCCTTTGAAAGGCCACTGCGTTCACTCCACATCTGGGCGTCCACGGAGCCCGATCCACCTACAAAATGCACTTGCTCATATCTGCCTGCCAGGCCGTGCAACGTTCAAGAAATGACGTGAACTCACCTGGCACCGTAGAAGGCATTGTGTATACCCAAGGAATTAGCATGATTACTTTGCCCTGGAAGACCTAGAAGCTATGAAGCCTTGGATGCTGAACTGAACTGTCACTGATCTGTATTTTGCCCCAGGCAAGTTATTTAAATTCTCTGTATCTCAAATTCTCCATTACAAAGTTGGCAGAAGAGTAAAGGCAATAATATAAAAGATGTTCAGAAAACAGGAGCTTTCTCATCCCAAGCAACTAATCTACTACTGGCCAGGCTCACTCTCCAGAAATTATATAGTACCTCTAATTAGGTTTTGCGATCTTCTGAGAACCGTAATAAACACCATTCTTATTTAAATGTCACCAAGTCCCCAACTGCACCAGAAAACAACCAACTCCATCTGGTATTAAAATTTTTTTTTTTTTTTTTGAGATGGAGTTTTGCTCTTATTGCCCAGGCTGGAGTGCAATGGTGTGATCTAGGCTCACTGCAACCTCCACCTCCTGGGTTCAAGCGATTCTCCTGCCTCACTCTCCCAAAATGCTGGGATTACAGGTGCCCACTACCATGCCTGGTTAATTTTTGTATTTTTAGTAGAGACAGGGTTTCTCCATGTTGGCCAGGCTGGGCTCAAACTCCCGACCTCAGGTGATCCACCCGCCTCAGCCTCCCCAGCCTCCCAAGGTGCTGGGATTACAGGTGTGAGCCACCGCACCCAGCCATGATATTTTAACTAATGTAAAAATGTTATTTTTCTGACCTCCTCTTCCTACCACATTAGCTTTAAATGTGGAAAATACGTAACAGTGAAATCAACCAAAAGACATCGGTGAATCAATAATTTCCAAAATATGACTCAGGACCCAAGACTTGAAGCTGCTCTGTGGTGTCGAGGTCAGATGTCAGCTGTGACGCCACAGTAGGGGTAGTGGAATAACTCAAGGTTGGGGCAGGGATAATTTAACACATCGCTGTGTCGTGGGTAACAGCCAACCTAAAAGCACCAGAAAGTAGATTTAAAGGTGTTCAAATTATATTTGCCCTGTCAGGCCAAACATTATTTGTCTTTGTAACCTCTATAGGGTCTCAAGTTGAAGCGCTCACATGTAGCAAACATTCAATACGTGTCTGTTCAAATCCATCTCCAAAGTTATGCTTTGTATTCATTTATTGCAGGTGGGGGGCATCAGGTAGTCACATCTAGCAAAGTTAAAAATTATGCTCAGCTTATTTTTTTATTCCTCAAATTAATTTCTGGAATTGAAATATCCTTGGAAATGATATGTTTTTAATAAAGACCATTAGAATGTAAATCATTCAAAGAGATCTAGATAGACAGCAAATTTGCTTGGAAGAGCTGTTAAGGGAATTAAATGAGTCAAGACATAAAGTGCTTAGAATAGGTCCCAGCAACAGCACTGTGGTGTCTGCTAACGACCTGTCGGCATTATTTAAAATATATTGACTGTTCACGAATTACAATTAAGGCAAAAATACAATAAAGATTTTGTTGAGAAAGAAATATAAACTATCCCTCTCCCTGACATTGTCAACTGTATTGAAAACCTAACTAAAAAAAAAAATCTTACCCCGTCTACTTGTTGAAAACATAATCATCAATCCACCTCACTCAAATTATATCATCAAAGACAAAAAATCTGGAAGCTAAACATAACGGAAATAACAGTTCCGTCCTGTATTTGCCCCGTGTGAGGCCCTTTATATGGCTTATCTCCCTTAATCCTTACCCCAGCCCCGTAAAGAAAGTGCCATTATTATCCCTACTTTGTAGACAGGGAAGCCGGAGCTGATGGCGAGGTCACCTAGCCCAGGTTGCACACCAGCAAGTTCTAGACGGGGCGTTCGAACACGGGGCGTCCGCCTGGAGTCTGTGCTGTACAACCCCACACCAGGGTTTTTTCTTTATAAATGATGGTGGGTAAGTAAAAACCTCTCCCTCTCAACTCTTCATCTGTGAGCTGTCTGAGGGCAGGAGTTAGGTCTGGATCAACCCATTGCCTAGAATATGCTAAGTGAGCAATAATATTTGCTGGGTGAATGACCCTTCCAAGCACTAACATTCTTC